CTACTCATAGTTGGTAGGAACTACTTGTCAACGCTGTAAAGAATCCCTGTCTACTCGTTTAAAGAAGCTCCCGCAATAAAAGTGTCAAGGATAATTGCTGATCAATTATGAAACAGTAGCTGATAAGTAATTCCTCAATGAAGGAAAAAAACAAGAGCCCTCAAGAACACCATAAACAAAATCGCGACCTGACAGTCACACCTCCCTGCGGTCTCTGTGCAAGCCCTGGCTCACAAATCACTTTGTCACATCTCCCAGTAGTGGATATCATCGAATGCGAAGAAAAGAAAACAAAAAACAGAAACATAGAGGAAAAACTCTTGAAAAGAAAAGGAAACATTTAAAAGCCGGCGTCCGGATTAGAATTTACGGGTAGGGGGGGGCCGGGCATGAATGTTTCTAGTGTAGTGAAGTGCGTCGAGCTTTTGCACCACAGAAATTGCATCATTCGTGTGATTTTACGCGTTTTACCTTACGAGATGGGTTGCTGTTGACTGTACTTGCTCCCAATGAATAAAATGTGATGAAGGAGAGCAGAATTATTTACGAGCACGAGCGCGGTCAGCAAAAATACATGCAGTTCCGATTAATGACTGCCGTCCCAACAAGGAACAACTGAGCGGCTCTCCGTCAGAGGGCAGCTAGCTAGTGAGGCGGTCCAACTGAGCAGGCGTTAGAACTAGAACTTTGAGCGGTTCTAGCTCGCTCCTCGCTCGCTGAGGAGTCGCGAGAGTGAGGTAGTATCTAGCTTGGGGGCTGAACTACCTGCCCAAGGAAGGACGACATCTATACTGAAGTACTTGCCGTCTTTAACACGTTGACGACATGCGCGTTTTTACTTTTTGGCCGCGTGGGACACGCGCGTTTTCTCGAACGCAACCAGCGCGGTACACACATAGTTCAGACGATCCCACGAGGCGCTTTTTTGGAAATTGGATCGGAAAACTGGATTAGAGCGCAGTTATGAAGTAAGTTAATACTTCAGTATAGAAAAAACCTGGCTGGCTAACTCTCGTTGCACTAGATGCCAGAAATTCGTCCGCAACCAATGTTTTCATAAAAAAAAAGGTGTCGTGCCACTCTAATAATGTTTTCAGATCTTCACCCTTATGAATTTTGGACCGATTATCAACATTGTATCGATCAGCATTTCTCAGCTAAGTGTTGGAGAGCAAACCATTCCAGTGTTGAAGAGCAAATCAGTCCGAGCAAATGGTGATCTTTACCCAAAAAGTATTTGCTAAACTAGTGTGTACTGAATTATTCCATGGACTACGCATAGTACGAGTACACCAGGGTCTGAACTATACAATGATTAAGAGAAACTAACTAAAAAACCATGCACTGTTGAAAGATATGGATTTGTTGATCGTGAGTTGTATAGTATGCACGCTGTCCCACATGGCCTACAACGCGTGCATTCAATGTGTCTCACGCTGTCGTCAATGTGTTAAGGATAGCGTACGACCGTTACTATGTGAATTTTTGTCTTGGTAAATGTACGTGCATCGTGCTTGTGGAAAACCTTTTCGGATAGCGACTGCCTGCAGAACCCATGTACCAAGTTTCCGAATCCCTCCCATGCCAAAGTTAGATTTTTTTAGTATGGGAGCCTTCCATGACATCTAGAAATTCCCACCCGCAAATTCTCGTAATGAGCTTGGCCTCAATAAAGCTCCTAATTGACCCAATAAGGCCCTCACTGTCGATGCTCTTTTGATGAGGTCAAAAATCGGACGAATTCGTTGGTAACTAATTCGCACTTTGCTTGGCGATATCTCTTCACTCCTTTTTTCAGGGGTATTGATGCGCATTCAGATGCGAAAACACGCAACATTTGGTAGACACGACGACACTTTCCTGTCTTTTTGTATAGTTTTAGTTTCTAATTGTTTTTCAAATACCTTTTTTGAAGATAGATTATTAAAAGGGATACCAGCAAACAAAAAAACATACTCGCAAATCAAGGTGACACGAAAGGCATTCGGCGTGCGCTCGAAAGGAAGGGCGCCCTATATAGTCGATGCCACTGCGATTTTATCGAGCTCAATTTAGTTGGTCCCCACCTGTAGCGATTCCACCACTGGTTGTTTTTTTCCTGAATCGATTACTACTCATTCACCATTGGTGCAGCAAGGCAGCTGTAGGCGGGATCATCCCGCCTTCCTCACGCCGTCCCAGACTGACTGCGATGTTACTGACTATATATGAGCGCGCCTTATACTTTGCAAATGGGCCCTCGGGGCTTTCAACTCAATTTAAGATTCAATTCAAAATAATAATTTAGCCAAATTCAAAAGAAGCGTTGCCAAAAGTGTTCACTTTTGTTGACCTGAAACCTCCTCCTTTTTGAGCATTTGAAAAATGGTGGAAATGGGACTTCACAAAGACGCACGCTTAAAAAAGGTTGTTCTTTACTGAAAAGTCCCGCAGCGCACAAATTATCAGGTAAAAGCCTTACTGTTGCAAAAATTAGTTGTACTTGTTAGCGGGAGCAGTGGGTTTTATTAAAGTTAGTAGCCGCGTTCGTTTTCCTATGTTTGGCAGAAAGCCCACCCGCTACGTCTACCTAAGCGGTCGGATGATTATGGCACGCGAACAGCTCCGCCATACTGCTCGCGTGTCACGTAATCAGCCTACACTAAAGGGATTCTATTCAGCCCTACTTTTCTGCTGTATTGTCCGTTTAAAAAATCCGAGCTCCGAAAATTTGAAGCAGCATAACAGAGCCCAGTCTAAGTGGGACCGTTCTGCGCTGATATAAAGTCGCAACCAGTAGGGGCGAAAGTTCCGCCGGCAGCCCTGCTCTGTCAATAGCGATCGATTTATGAGGAAATCAGTCATTGGTGGAAACGCCATCGATTGCAGAAAAGCGCGCGAATACGCCGACTGTGGGCCTCATTAATTCGGCTCACTATCACTTCACTGAAGAAAATACGGAGAGAGGAATAAACGTTGGCAATCCTTTTGTTTCAAACATTTCATTCTCTGGGAATAAAATGTCGTGAATAACAGAAATTCGACAAGTATTTTATCAATTTATTTGGCGAAATCCTCGTCGAATCCTTCTGCGTTCAGGATTAAACAAGCATTTGATTGGCGAGGGTAAAGACGCACTGCTGGATTTTGCCATGCGGACTGCGGAAGAATCCTCACGCATTGCACAGATTTTCTCCGTCTGAAAATTCAGAAATTCTGTTTGGTTACTGCTTTTATGAAATACGTTTTTTGTATGCCGAAGTCCTGGGATGATCAGCGTTGTATTCAGCCAGGACCACTATGATTTCTCATCATGCTTGTTATGTTGTTAAGAGAGGCAACGACCCAGCTTTTTCAACCTGTTCAAGATGACGGTCGTTGACCAAAGGTCATGAAAAGAGAGCAGAAGTAAAACTGTCAAAGTAGATGTGGTAATTATTATAAACGTTCACTAACCTACATGAGCGGCGCCGTGAATTCGTTTTCCATATGGGACCATGGAGGCACCTAAACGAGCATAGCGTATCTACACAGTGGTTTGGCGCAATGCGGCGAGGGGGTCGGCGCATTTTGCACTTTAACTGGTTCCGCTTTGCCACACTTTACCTGAAGATCTTGTGAAGCAGGAGCTACCATGGTGAACTTTGTCAGACGGTCGCGAAAGAGGCCTCTCTAGACGGTTCGCACGTCGAAGGGAGAGTAGCCAAAAGCTGCAAAATGCCCCCCCCCCCCGTCGCCGAACTGCATGACAGTGTGTCGCTGGTGAACAGTCCGTATTTTTTCGTGATTCTTTGCTAGCACCACTGGTCTGGCTACAGCAACTGGCTACAATGACTGCGCGGCTTGAACAGATTAGACTGCGTTAGAATATACAGACAGAGAGGCTGCAAAAAAATGCCTTATCGGTCATGGGGCCACATTCCAAAAAACTGTTCCGAGTGGCCGAATGATGTACTCAATATGTTTATTCGTGCGCCCGCTGCCGTGTTCTGAGATTCGCTGACTCCCGCAGCTGCAAGTGTGCACTTTCTCTGACATAAAAGCACAATGAGACTGGAAAGCACTGACACCGGCGGTGTTACTTTCAAGCTCTATTAAAAAAAACTCGCACTGGCGCCTGGTCAAGCTCGCGACTTATCGTTGCCAAACGTGGCGTATGCCTGAGCCCTCTCATTTCTGACGGTTTTCTACTGCTGAGAGCGTGCTTCACTAAGTGAGACTTGGTATCGTTGCAACCGTTGCACCTCGAGAACTCTGGTGAATGGGCAACTTGTCTTATAAGATGAAACGACATTTACAACCTAAACCTGACTTATCATTGTATCCAGACCCGCCGACCTGCCTGGTGCACCACTCTGTCTATGCGATGAACATCTGTGTAGCGCCGGTACTTGATAGTTTTATTTTATTAGGTTGTCCGAAGTTCTCAGCGTTTTGAGTGTTTCACTTTAAACGATCATAACTTTCTTAATACTCATCGGATTCAATCGAAATAAGCACCATTCGAATCAGCACACTTTTGCCAATGTGACATCGGTCGAGAAACCCCAAATCACAAGAAAAAACTGGGTGGTCGGATAACTACGAAATCCACGAGGCTTTTTTTTTTGCCTGGTCCTGATTGATGAAGTATTTTTCAGCAAGGAAGTTCTGAAAATGTTTGAAAAGGTGATAGTCGGTTGGTGAAAGGTCTGGAGAATATGGCGGGTGAGTAGAACTTCAACCCCCAATTCGTTCAATTTTATGGGTTAGTGTTTGTTAACTCGTGGGCGGGCGTTGTCATGCGAAAGAATCGGACCATTTCTATTGAAAAGCGCTGGCTCAGCTGACGCAATTTTCAGGTACATTTCGTCGATTTCTTCTTAGTAGGACTCTGCTGTGATGGTTTGGCCTGGTGACAAAAAGTTATAGTGGATCACACCAGCCGATGACCACCACACTGTGACCATAATCTTTTTTCGTGAGGGTTCGGCTTTGAAAAATTACCTCGGTGGTTCGTCGGCCAACCTACTGTCCGACGTCTCCTGTTATTATCAGACACCAGTCGCGCACCAGCCCCCCCCCCCTCTTCTTAGAGAGACAGTCATCAAAATTTTCTATACCGCAATCCCGTCACTGATGAGGAAGCGCAGAATAAACGGCACCAACCATTTGGTATACTCCCTACGGTTATCCCTAAACTAACTTCATCTGCCCAACCATTGCTCAGTTTCACTTACTCCCATTTCCTGGTGCCAGATATGTTTGAGGGTTTTTGTCCCCGACACCGTTCACTTCGGCGAACGCCCTGCCCATCGCGGGTGTGCTTCATTCATTCCCGTCCGCCAACTGTTTGCCTATCGTTTCCACAGTTTCAAACTCTCCGGTGATTTCTAGAACCGAACTACGAATTTTTAAAAGTTTTGTAGCGAGCACCACCCACCTATAGCACGCCTCGCCCATCATGGGTGTGACTCCCTCATTTCATCCGCCAACTGACTGCTTATCGTTTCCCACAATTTCCGCTCTCCGGGATCTTCTAGAACCGAACTACGAATTTTTGAACTATGTAACTCACAACTGTGCGCATGCCCCGCCCACAGTGGGCGGAGCTTAGCTCAGTTCATGTGTGTTCCGTACATCTTGACCCATGCCCTACCCAACCCACCCTTGACCCGCCCCCTCCAACTGGTTCTTCAGGTGATTCCGAATTTCCGGACAGACAGACAGACAGACGTTGCCGTTTATATATAGTAGGATGGACGTATTTTTCATCAAGGTACAATTCAGTCCAAAAACGGGTCGTTTCTGTTGCGCAAAAGCAGTGAAGAAGAAACCTCGAGACGTGCCAATTTCTGCCGGTCACTCAAATTGTGGGGCACCCACTTGTCGAGTTTTTCACCTTCCCAATGCGTTTCAGACCATCCGCAACAGTGGATTTTGCCAACGCCTAGCTTTTCTGCAATCTCTCGAACTGTTTGGGAAGGGTCAGCCTCCACAAACGCTTTCGAATTCTGGTCGGGTATTGCTTTAGGTCGACCGCTACGAGGTTCACCTTCAAGGCTGAAATCTCCAGAACGAAATTTGTCGAACCATTGTCGCACGGTGCTTTCTCCAACTTATTGGGCCCCACACCTGGTTAATTTGTTGAGCTGTTTCGATTGCGGATTGCCCCAATTTATAGTCGAAGAAAAAAATCGTCCGAAGTGCTCTTTTCACATGCTTGAAAAAAATCTTGAAAAAAAGGGGGTTATCAAGCAATGGTGAAACGGCAATTATACCATCAGATAGCGCAAAGAATTCTCTTCAGGATGTACTACTGAGACGCAAGGGAGAATGAGTTTTTAATCAGCAATGAATGTACAAAAAATAGTAACACAAAACGCTGAGAACTTTCCGGACAACCTAATATCTTTCCCTTTAGCAGTGATGCCAGATGTTTTCATTCTGTTTTAAAGCGCTACCGGCCTCAGACAGTACATAGGGTGCTGGGTATGTGACAAGAGAATCGTAATTCGCCGCGCTGGTGGGTTCCGCATGCGAAGTCGCGCCAACAAATGACGATGGTTCCAGGCAGAACATAGGGCTACAACAGCGCGACTCATTTAACCGAAATTGTCACGAATGCCTACGATGGACAGGTCCTCATAAGTCCGGCTGCCCTTAATCGACAGGTAATGCCAGTCAGGAAAAAACGTCGAAAGCGCTGCGGCGGAGCGGCAAATTAGATCTCTTGCCCGTACTCCATGGGGATGGCGTCGTCACCCATCTTTAATATGAAGTCCTCGGCCTCTTATTTCTGCAAGGAGCTTACTGCGACCCACTCCGAGTACACACCAAACGTGATCGTTTGGTTTGTGCGTTCACCTTTTAGGTTCTTTATCGAATTCTTGGGAACTAACCTGTGATCGAACGATCTTCGCTGCTGGCGGGCGCATTTGATAACAGTGACCGCCTGAAATAGAATAAAGGATTTGTCAAGAAAAAAATTACAGTGAATAGGGTGAAGAGCGCTCTAATCTTGAATTATACTATATTTAAGATGTCGCGTATACTAACTTCTACTAGAAGTGTAGATCATTGGAGGCCATGGTAAGCCTAAGCTTGTTTTGTTGGTAGATCAAAAACTAAGCCAATATTGCTCTCCCATACGAGTTTTTTTATTTTATTATTAGTATTTTGTGTCGTTGTTGGAGAGGCAGGGAGGGGGGGGCGGTATGCTGGCTTTGAGAGAAGTTCTGCGCACGTTGGAGAAAAAAAATTATCCTACGTGGTTGACTTTTCGCGTGATTTTTCCTATTTCGCTATACTATATGCTCCTCCTCCCACCCCCCCCCCCTCTTGACAGAAAGGTTTTGGGTAAATGTTTACGGAAAATTTCAGGCAATTCCGGGAAAATTGTTTAGGGAAGCTAGGGGAAAACTAAAATGCAATATTTGTCCGGTTACACGTTTCACACTGGCTACAGACCCCCCTCCGCTAGACGGGAAGGCGGGAGGGTCGTACCAAGACCCTCCCTCGAGAGGGGAGGGCGTACTGGCACCACCATTTACACATCACAATGCCGTACCCTGATTGCGATGTTTACAAATTGGTTAGGCTGCGTCCATACTTTGCGGCAGCGTCCACCAGTGCGCACTAGCGTACCAAGCGTCCGGCAGCGCCAGCGACTAGCGTCCATCAACGTCTGCTATGGTCTCAAGGGCTAGGGAGGTATAGGTATCAAGCTCGCGTTTGCCGCTTCTGCCAGTGTCCTGCAGAGTTCACCATCTACCGGAGCAGAGAGTATAGGGAAGTAGGTGGGTAGCAAATAGTGGAAATAGGCGTCGTGAAATTGTAGGATTTGCAACCCCACCGTACAACTACGCTACACCGCACACTGATTCGCATAATTCTACGCCTTAGCAATTGCGCGGTGCTGTTGCACACGCTGCATTTCACGACGTCTAATTCAGCTGTTCGCTAGCCTCCTAGTTCCCATACTTTTCTTCTGGGGCTTCCTGAATCAGGTTGAAATTTTGGAATGGGCTGATTGGACGGCTGGGTAATCGGCACCCGCTGGGGCCAGAAACAGGGATTTTCAGGTTAATAGTGTCCTATATGGGCTTTTCGGTAAAGGCCCCTCGAAAAGAACGCTGGGTTAGACGTGGGGTTGGGGAGGGGGGGGGGCCAGACCCGCCCCAACCATCGATTTTGCTGTACCCCTTTCCTGAAGGGGTCGGGCCCCGTATTGCTTCGGGAACGCTAGTAGTCGCTGCGGTGGACGCGTTAGACGGCTGGTGGATGTGGCCCCCAACAGGAACGCAGCCTTACAGGATCTCTTCCCATCAGACGTGATCTCGTTGGACCCTATCCAAAAGTACCTCATCGCCCAGCGATTGGAGCGAGAAGGAAAAGGAGAGGAAGGAAAGTAGGAAGGAAGGAAAAGAAGTAGGAGAAGGGGGTAAGGAAGCCTTGCCGTTTGACAAAGGCTTCCTGAGATGAGCTTACAAAGGTATAATCTCCGGAGCATGACAACAGAGTTTTTTAAGAGACTTATTATGCTTTCTTTGATCGGGTATTAAGTTTATTACTAGACGCAAATATCACGAGAATGCTGAGTTTTGTGCAAAAGTCGGGCCGCCGGACGGGATTCGAGTCGCATCTTCCGCTAAGCGGAACTCAGCATCCTCGTGATAGCTTTCGGATCGCGCCTGCGGCGTCAAACAGCGGTTATCGAGCAATAACAGCTTAAAACTAGACGCAGAATTCTGTAACCCTTATATCCAAGTGTTCTAGCGAGGGCTAAAACGTTTCCCTGGCGTGTTCTAACGCTGAGAGTTTTCGCAGTTTCCACAGTTCGAAGATTAGAGGTCCCTATTACGATACGGATTTTCGACCCACTGTATACCACGGACCCTTACGGAGCCACTTGTGACAGCCGACAACACTGATACCTCTGCTACCCAATCATGGGAGCATGCCACAGAGTCTCGTTAGTACCAAAGTTTCGCAGCTGAAAATATCCCAAGTGGAGAAAAGCAGCGCTCAAGGCCCTCTTGAATCATCTGAGGTAAGTTGACAACGCAGATACTGAACAACAACATCATTAGGCTGCATACACACAACATCCATCAAGCATCTCCGCCATCTAAGAGCTGCACCCTTACGACAACTATCAAGCATATCCGCGATCTGTGATAACATAAAAATCACTCCAGTGGATATCTTATTAGTTCTTATGAGGCGAACTAAATGACCTTGGCTCAGTCTCTTCTTCTTCTTCGTACCCTTTGGACGATCTGCCAAGTATAGTGCTCAGAGCTGAAAAGCTTGCTTGAATCATTCACGTAAGCTGACAGGATCCTTCAAAGAAAAAAGCATTCCATTCAGTCACTTTCAAAAATGCATGCGAAGAAGGTTTCACCGGGGTGGTGAGACTGTAAACGGATGTTGCTGAAAGCCGGTACACTGGCGAAGACCAAAGTCCACTTCCACTCAGGTTTTGAAGACAATCCCTGCGACCAAGTGTTTACGGGTATCAGGTGCTCATTCATGAACCAATAGCCATAAGGCAGCGTTCATACTTCGCGACAGCAGCGGCGATCGCGGCGACCTCGGCGATCGCCGCGATCGTCGGTACGTGGCAGAGCGCGCCCCAACGCTATGGACTGCTCGCTTGATAAATAAGGAAATCCAACTTGTGAGACCTTT